ATTTTTATGTCCTTTACTGTTTTCTATTATAGAAGCAGTGTTTTGTTTTAATTTGTAAAACCTATTTATATATTTAAGCCAGTGTTATTTCTTATTGCAAACCTTCAATTTAGTATTTGCTTTTTAATTTTAACTTTCTTTTACTTTCCTTATTCTTCTTCAGGAGCAAATACCCAATGTTGCCTTCTTATTTCATCTAGAGGAGTTAGTCGTCTTTTATTACAGGGAGAAGATGATCATTTAGCAGTGATGATGTAGTCCAGATTGCAGAATTGAACCGGAGATTTAAGTATATGAGCTCTGATCCTCACCGTTTTCGTAAGTCAGTGAATGTCATATCTATTCAAGCTACTTTGGAATAATAGATTACTGAAATATAATCTTCTGTATGATGTAATAGTGACTCCAAATGTAAACATCAAGAAAATATAACCTGGTTCCTTGTGGAAATTTTATCTCAAGTGACTTCAAAATATTGCACATACTTTATTGGAAAACATCTATCAATAGTAAAAGCATAACACTGACATTTGTCGAAGATTGGAGCTTTAGAACTTTAACTTACTAATCTGTAAATTCCTATTATTTTGATGTTGTTATGATAAATTACAGGGTTTTTGTTTTTTATGTTTCCATTTGTACTATGAGTTTCTAAGCACGTTGATTTTCTTGTAAATCTAATCTGTTTCACATTTTTTTTTTTTATACCAGGGATTAAACCCAGGGTACTTAGCTATTGAGTCACATCCCCAGCCCATTTTAAAGTTAATTTTTTTTTTTTTAAATTTAGAGACAGGGTCTTGCTAAGTTGCTCAAGGCCTCACTAAATTGCTGAGGCTGGTTTTTAACTTTGGATCCTCCTGCCTTAGACTCCCGAGCTGTTGGGATTATAGGAGTGTGTCACTGCACCTGCCTTTGTTCACATTTTTAACTGAGAAAAGCTAAATCATTTCTTTAGGAGAAGAAAAAGATTTATTCTAATCCTAAAAATATGTAGGTAGAGGTCTGGGAAATAGGTAAGCCTATACAAACTTCACTAAGGTCTTAAAACTGCTTAAGATGATCCCAAAGTAGGACACAATACTAAATAGGCCCTGGAAATAGAGAAGGTCATCCATGTGCCACAATACCAGAGACCATCTACTATGATATATGATGAGCCTTTACACAACATTAGAATTTACCTGCAATATTACTTTTAAATTATCAGAATCCCAGAAACTATGTAGAGGAAATTATGGGAGAATACTGATAATCTCTTCATTTATAGGGATGAGAGCTGGAGGTCAGGGTGGGCAGTGGGATAGAAAATGAGCACTCTGTGCTCTCAATCAATAGCACTTGAAGCAGTTGACTTGGGAGACCCAAGGGTAAGTATGGCTATGTCAAGTAGTAATCTTGAGGGGCAATGGGATTTCTTGCTGATTGTGCTGGGCTTTTGCCTGGTGTAGGAGCAGTGACTCTAGAAAGGAGAAAGAGCCATATAACCATAGCCACAGAACAATTATTAAACAGATGCTTATGTAGACTTATTATTTTCTATTTAGTGTTTTACATTGGTTTTAATCCAAGGGATATTTTGATATGTCTATAGACATTTTTAGTTCACACAGCTGGTAAGGGGGCTGGTTAGAAACCAAGTATTCTGTCAACCATTCTAAAATGCATATGATAGTCTCCACAACAGAGAAGTATCAGGTCCCAAATGTAAGTAGTGCCAAGATTCTGAAACCTTGTTTTAAATATTTAGCAAACATTAATTCTTTTAACCTTCATGGCAACCCTGTGAAAGCTCATATTGCAAGTGAGGAATGTGACTTGCCCAAAGTCAGGTATCTAAGAGAAAGTGTAGGTCAAAGGGCAACAGGATGCTATTATGGAAATGCAGGTATTAAAGACAGGAGTTATTACATTAAAACTAGTCTAAGTAAAATTGAAGATAAAATTATTTTCAGAGAGATTGAGTCTTTTTAATGGAAATGTATAATTTATGATGTAAATATTTAAGAAACTTTAAACAGTAATAATAACATGAAGCAAAACAAATATGTAAATAACAATTGAAATGCAATAGCTTTTTAAAAAAGTATAACCAACATACAATAAATTGCAATAACTTCAAGTGTAGAAGTGATAAATTTTGATATGTCTATACCTATGTGATTATTGCCACAGTCAAGATAATCAATATGTCCATGCCTCCAGAAGAGTCTTCATACATATTTATAATTCCTCCTTCTATTAAGCCTCCTGTCCTTCTTGGTCAACCTACTGCACTGTAGATGACTTTGCATTTTCTGAAGTTTTTACATGATGAAATTATATGTATATATGCACTCTTTGTTTTGTTTATCTCCCTTTGCACCCATATTTTGTAAGTCATCCATGTTGCAAGTCTCAATAATTCATTCCTTTTTATTGCTAAGTAGTATTCCAACATATAGATACACAATTTGTTTATCCATCCCCCTTTTGGTGGATATTTGGGTTGTTTCCAGTTGAGACTATTTATAAATAAAGATGCTACATACATTCATGAACAAATCTTTGTATGGACATATAATTTTGTTTCTTTTGGTAAAATACCTAGGAATTGAAGAGCTGTGCCATATGTTAAGTGTGTGTTTAATATTTCAAGAAACTGCCATACTGTTTTCTAAAGTTACTGTTCCATTTTACATTTCTACCACCTATATAAGAGAGTTCTATTTAAAACTTTACCAGTGATTTAGTATGGTTAGTTTATAGAACTTTAGACATTTTAATAGGTATGCAGTGGTAATTCTCAGTGGTTTTAATTTGCTTTTCACTAATGCAAATGATACATGATGTTGAATATCATTTCATCTATTTGTCACCCATATATCTTCTTTGGTAAGGAATCTGTTCAGGTGTTTTGCCCATCTAAGAAAAT